CTGCTGCTGCTCCTCCTGGTCCTGCTGCTGCTGCTGCTGCTGCTGCTGCGTGACACCGTGGGGGTGGCGTGGGGCGAGCTCCACACGCAGGGGCCGCCTTCTGCAGGCGCACCCGTCAGAGTAATGCCCGGCTCTGGGCTGGCTTGCTTGCTTTCTGCTGAGATCTGTCTCCGATGTGACGGGTAGGGAACTTGCACAGACGAGCGCCCAGCAGGGACACGTGCATTTCCTGCGAGGCTGGACGGGGTAACGATTTCGAGGGAAATTAGCTTCCGCGTGTAATTTTCAAATATTTTCGTAGTTCCGAATGCATCATTTTTGCATGGTACAATTTAAAAGAGGATGACAGGAAGTAGTGCTTAGAAAGTGTGTCTAAAGTTGGAGAATGCAAATAGAGGTGATATTTTGAAAATGCAGCTTTTATTATCCTTTAGCAGCTTTTACTGAATAGAGAGGAAGGTTTTCCTTTGAAGGCTCTGTAGGAAAGAGGCCTACATAACACATAGTATATCCACCTTGGAAAGACGAACCGCTGAGTCAGCCCCCCTGAGAATTAAAACTGTGGTTACAGGCACTCTAGCAATTCTAAATCTGTGACTTAGACCAAGAAGCTCCAGCTTCTATAGTGAATACTGTGCTTTATTTTCATAAGAGTGGGTGTAGGTTGTATAAAATTATTAGGGTAAAGATCTAGGCCTTGCTACATGAGTACTATGGCATAGTTATTGTTTTTCCTTTGTATTTCTGGAATAAATTTATATGAAAACCTCTACGGTGCTACAAAGGTGAAATGTGCAGAAGACAGTAACCTATTTCGATAGATTTATTGTTACGTTAACTCAGCATACCTTGAGAGAAATGGATTTCCTGAGGATGAAACGTTTTCCTGGAAGTTGTATATTCATGGCACGTGCAGTAGTGTGCAGTGGAGACATTTAACCAAAATTTTCTTTGCTCAAAAAAGGAAAAACACTGTAGGATCTTCCCAAAATAGAGAAACATCATCCCTTAATAACAGCAGTTAGGGAAATTAACATTTTTACAAACTCATCTTTTTCATGGGAGCTGCTCACAAAACTGGACATGCTGGTTTTGTTCTTAGCCTCAGCTACATGTAACAGGCAAAACCCATGCATTCCCATTCAATAAAAATTTTTAAACATGTGCTAGGAATCAGTAATATTTGCTACATAAATTCAATTTAGATTAGTCTATATAAAAGTGAATGCCTATGCATGCTCTGATTTGTCATTCATGAGGTTCTGTTCTATTTATTTTATTTTCTAAACAGACAGGCATGCACACACACATTAATGTAAAATGTAGAGCGAATGTTCATTTAAAATAAGGATGAAATTAAATCCTGTTACAATTAAACCCTTGGGCTGAGCTGTGGAAAGGCCAATGAGGGGGACTTGTACGGTGTTACGACTGTGTTTTAAAAAGTCTCACCGAAACACACTGGGATAGTTTAAATGGGCTATTTGTATTTGTCAAAAAATGAATCTTAAGAAACTGTGTTAAAATAAATGAGTCGTGGCAAGTCTGTGAACATACGAGGCTTGCAAAATGTCTGCAGGTATTGCTCAGCCTTTGGGATTTCTTATTAAGGGCTTTGGCGAGATTAGGAAAACTATGCTAAGCAACATGCAAAAGGGCACGGTGTGTGTGAGTGCTGAGCTGCCGTGAAATGACAGGAAAATTAGGGGGGTCTGCATGGTCTTGTCCATAGTGGTGGCCACATGCCACATCAGAGTGTGGTGGCCACCAGCACCATATTGATGGTGTTTTTCCCTCTTTGCCCCACAGGATGTGACATGTGTGCTGATAACCGCAACGGCGAGTGCCCCATGCATGGGCCCCTCCACTCCCTGCGCCGTCTGGTGGGCACCAGCAGTGCTGCTGCGGCAGCCCCTCCACCTGAGATCCCAGAGTGGCTCCGGGACCTGCCCCGGGAAGTGTGCCTGTGCACCAGCACAGTGCCTGGCCTGGCGTACGGCATTTGTGCAGCACAGCGGATCCAACAGGGCACCTGGATTGGGCCCTTCCAGGGAGTCCTGCTCTTGCCAGAGAAGGTTCAAGCCGGAGCCATCAGGAACACTCAGCATCTCTGGGAAGTAAGTTGTCATCTTTCCTTCCTTGTCAGATTTTGTTGTTTTGAAGTAGACATTGAGTGTAATTAGTAGTACTAGCACTGTTCACTAGCCATGAAAAAAAACCAACACAATTTAAGTAAGCCGACCCAGCAGATTTGAAAATGTAGACAGTGCAAGCAAAAGCCTTGCTGCGCTAGAGGTATCCAGAAAACCGGTGGACACCTCAGAGCTCCAACTGATTTGCATGGGAAGAGCACATTGTTGCAGGTGCTGTACTGCAGAATAGAGAGATGTGGCCAGTGAATAATGAAGGTTACAACACCCAGTGCTCTTTACCTTTTGACCTGAGTAACAAGAGCTGACGGAGCTCTCAGGTCACAGTACCAGCAGTGTCCTCTTAGTGTGAGTAGCACATGTGGGTTGAGGTGGCGTATTGTACCACCACTGTGGCCTACAGACAGTCCAAGAAAGCTGCTGAAACAAATGGTGTTTCAGGAGCTTTAGCTCCTGAAAATGGTGTTAGCAGGAGCTTATTCTATAGCCCTGCTATTTGCACAGTGAAGGTATTAGTGCTTGTTCACAGTTTAGTTCAACTCTGGTCCTGCACTGACTGTGCATTCCCCTAATGATGCTTTCAGTGCTTTTGTGTGAAAGTCACATTCAGCTCTCTGAAGATGTTATTTTTTTGTATTTGTCACCATCTTAGAGAGGATAACAGTGATAATTGATATGAAAACATTCAGGCTGTGGTAGTTTGGTTTATTTTGTGCTGAACACTGATTGTGGTTTGGCAGAACAGATCATAAACCCGCTATTGTATTCCTTTGCTGTACAGGGGCATCCATGGCTGTTACTGTTCGTGACCATGCACATTTTCTCCAGTGAAGCACTGGAGTTTGTGCTTAGGTATAGTTTGTACACAGATGCTAACAACAGCATCTTGTGGTAAGTTAATTCAGAAAGAAAAGACAGTATATGCTCATTTTACACACAGATCTAATAATTAATAGGGAACACGTATAATCCCTGTGTGTGTCAGTACTTCTTATTTACAGAAACAGCCTACTGTCTACCTAGTCGTCTACCATTCATTTCTTCTTTGCTTTGTGCTGGAAGGTGTCGTTTCTTAGTTCTGCTTAGCCCTCTGTAGCTGCAGCTTCTGCTCACCTCAAGACTAAGTGCTACGGAGAGTCAGTAGAAACATGCCTTTAGATCTGCAGGTGATATTTACTTATCTAGACCAAATCCGAATCTTCAGAATATAAGGGGACACGCTTGCTGATTAGAAACCCGATAAGGAGTCCATGAAGATGCAAAGAGTGTTTTTGCTGTCTTCCGTGGGTATACAGTAAAAGTGAATGGATTTTTAAGAGATATTTGCTGTTGTGGAGCCAGAAGGTTGTGTATAGCACTTGTTCACAGAAAACCTATGAATATTTAGGTTGTCAGCTCTTTGGGACTGATGATTACCTCTTTTAATCATTATGGTCTATTTTTGCATACTATCTAATACATACGACTTCTTTCTATGAGTAGGAGCTCCTATGCATTTCCTATACACAAACAAATACTAAATAACACATCAGGGTCTTTGTCCCAAAATATTTACCCAGAAGAGTCACTGTGGCAAGAGGGAGATTTTCACATTAAAGAGTGAAATACCAGTCTCAGAACACACCTAAATGTACTCAGTAAAACTGGATGACTTGCAGTCATTGGAAGTTTTGTTGCTGCCTTTAGTGGGGATGGAATTTCTCTTGTATAGCAGAAATTAATAAATTGGACTTAAATCTGTTCCTACCAAAGCCCAGTGATTATAATGAGAGCATTTTGGGATATGTTATTAATATTTTTTTTTTTAATGGAACACTCTGTAATGATGTTGGAGGCTTTATTTTCATTGTTAAGAGGGGTTTTGTGGTTTATACTATGCTAATTAACAGAATATAAAATAATAAAATAAGCTTGCCAGATCATCAAGCTACATAAACCATTGAAATTTAGCTAAAATAAATGGAGTTAAGACAATTTTATGTTATCCTTAAATATTTACAGTATCAATTTATTTTTTTATTACAAATCAGTTTTATGCAAGTTAAGTTGCAAATATTGATAATATATTTTTAAAATAGGCAAGAATTTTTTAGTCTAACTTCAGACGAACTTAAAAATTGTTTTAAAGCAATAAAGGAAGGGAGGTTGCTGGGGGGAAAGCCAAAAGCAAGGAAGAAAAAGATGTTAAGTAAAAGTAAGAAGTAGTACTGATGTATGTGCCAGATTCAGGCCATTGACGAGTTTTTCTGTGGGTTTGCTCCTCTGCTCTTAACACACAACACAGATTTCCTGTTGGCTGGCAAAATGAGTGTGTGTATTTTAAATAAATTTTCTTAAAAATAATAATTAAATTTAGGGTTTTGGGGGGAAGTATTGTGGGCAGCTTATGGTCTCAGGTTATTTCTGTTAATGGCAAAAATTGTTAGCAAAGAATCACATACCCTAAGCTCTAGCTAAAAGTTTTGGCTGTTTCTCATTTGTTTTGTCTTTCAATTTGGTATGTTTTTTCTATCAGAGAACTGATGTTTAATAAAGAAAAGGTATAGCAAAAGAAAGTAATCAGAAAGTGTGTGGGATTTTACAAAGCTGATCTGTGAAAATAAATAAAAGCAATTGAAAGTATGTATCTGAATAGTCTGTATTCTTTTAGTCTATATGGTATAGGAGTGTGGATTAAATCACTGTAAGCATTAAATGAATGTCTCATCATTGTCCTTTTATAAAGTTGTGGATTTAGTCAACTGTCTTCCACCAATCTTTTCAAGATAGCTGCAAATACAGATCAGTTATTCATCATTAGGATTTGATGGACCTTATAGAGAGAATTTATCTTTCTTAGTACCGTAAATAGGATTCTATTTTTTTTTCCTCTCAGCACTGCAAAGTAAAGTTGATAAATTTTTGTTTTCATTTACAGTTCTTTGTTTTCAGTGTACGCCAGATAAATAGAAGGACTATTGCAAAGACTTTTAAGCATAGTTACTGATTTGGCGGCTTTTTTTATTCTCTTTGTTGTGGGAAACATCAGAAGCACTGCATTTGATGTATAGTTCAACACTATGGAAATATGCTCCAGTCTGTCTGCACAAGTGTTCCCACCACGCACTCAATGTTTGCTTTGTATGTAATCCATGCAGCATAACGTAGAGCGATTCAGAGTAAATTACATACCATTCCATTACCTCACAACAGGCCTTGACACCTATGGGTGTTCATGGGAAATTATAGAGTTCTCTTGCAATCAGCCAAGATAATTTTTTATAACTTACAGAAAGATCAGCCCTTCAGAAAGCCAAAAATACTAGTCATTTTTAGTTGTAGTTCTTTTTTTTTCCCCTTTGGCCCACTTCTATCCAATCTAGAGTTTGCTTGTATTTTATAAAAATACAATAAACTCTGATTTGTTTAAAACAAAAACAGGATTGGGTGTATTAAGTAAACACTCTCTTTGGTAATACAGGCATTTATTCCAGCTCTGCTTGATAATAATTCTGATCTTTTTTTCTTTCTTTTTTTTTTTTTTTCATTTTGAAGAAATGAGAACAATCCTGTTGTTATTGCAAAGAAAACAAGAGACTTTCTCAGCAATTAGGTCTTACTGATGAAAATGAGATAATTTTCCCCTAATGTGTTTTCTAATAAAGAAGTGAAAAGGCACCCTTGATTCCAACATATATGAAAACATTATCTCAATTATTAATGTGTCCTTACTCCCTGGAGATAAATTAATCTAGTTGCACATGTTTTCCCCTTTCTGTTTAACATCAAAATTTAATAAGAGTAGACTTAAGGAATGTATACGATATAAACTTAAATTCTATTAGAATAAAATACAGAAGTTTAAACGGCTTATACATTTTAGTAGTAGAAGTTTTTCAGGCTCCAAATTTCTGGAAACAGCTAAATCATGAATGGTCTTTTTCTCTGCAAATGCAGTTTAGAAGAAAAAACTTTTACTGACAGACATAACAAAGGATAGAATCTTACAGTTTCCTTTTCTTCATTTGCCTGAGAGTTTGCTGTCTTTCTTGATTTTTTTTTTTTTCAGAGGCCAAATATTTTTTTTTTCTTGGAATAGCCCAAGAATGTAAAATATAGTATTTCACTTTATTTTAACTTGACTTAAGTTTTGCTTTTCTGGAAGAAATGCTTTTTCATATGTTAGGTTTTTTTACAGGGATGAGCAAAATATAAGTACAGCAGGGAGTTCATTAGTAATTACAAAATGCTAAACCTGTGTTACTGATTGACCTCTTAAATGGACAAGATTAACTGGCACTACTAGAAAGTGTACATGTCATTTTAATAAAATACCATTTCGGTACTTACTGGGCTTTTTGTACCTCATCTGAAGTCAAAGAAAACATTGCATTTGACTTCATCTGGACCAAGAACAGGCGTTTTGCTGGGATGCATGCTGGCCAGAGTCCATGCAGCGGTACTGCACATTTCTGTACAAATTAATATGCAGAGAGAATTCTTACCTTTCCAAGGCAGCACTCATTCCACTTATGGTGATAGATTTCTATTCAGATTCTCAAGGCTGTAGTTTTGGACTAAATTCACTGTTACAGCAAAGCACTGGAGGATAGAATTACGTGCATGCCGTAGTTCTATTAAAGTGAAAATTATGTTTCTCAGCAATCCATCATCTAGTATTCTAGACTGCTTGTCAGCCCTGTTTCAAATATGTCATGTTCATGAAATTAAAATAATTTTGTCTTGGAAAAAACCCTTAGTTATATTACTATTATATCTTACATTATGCACAGTAACAGCTGGTGCTGTCCTGTTGCTTTGTTTTGCCTTTTCTGAGGATTTTGTGTGGTGTACCACCCTTGTGCTTATTTTCTATTAAAAAAACACAATAATTTTTACTTTTACATGGATTTTAAGTTCACATACTGCCTACTGGAAATATCCCTAATGTTGTGTTCAGTAGCTTACTACGCTGGAAGTTCAGTAAG